GTGTGTGTGTGTGTGTGTGTGTGTGTGTGTGTGTGTGTGTGTGTGTGTGCACTGCAGCTGTTCCTCCTCTCGGAGAGATTAAGTTTCACAAGATGTGATGGATGCCGGGTGTCTGCAGAGCCAGCTGTGTGTGAGTGAGCGTGTGTGTGTGTGTGTGTGTTTCTGTGTGCGAATGTGCGTGTACGGCTGCGTATATGTGGTGAATGTCCACGTCGCTGCCCCGAGGGGTTGGGGTCGGGGTTAGGAGAGGGGGACGTTAAGGTCCGGGGATGTTTTTGAGTTGGGCCGGTATTTATAGAGACTGCAACTTTTGGTTCCTACGCAGACCGGGCCGAAAAAAAAGAAGAAAAAGGGAAAGATGCGAAGGGGGTCAACTTTTCCAGCCACAAACAAAAAGAAGCTCCTTTCTTTTCTGTCGTCACACCTACGTTTTCTTTCTTTCTATTCACTGCCACAACTGCAACTCAAGGCCACTTGACAAAGACTCAAAACCGTACATGTACAGGTTTTCATTGAGGCTATTCTTTTGAGAGGTGGCCTTATGGTGGGAAAAAAACAGGCTGTACCGGTCGAGGGTGAGTGGGCTCCTGCTAGCCAGCATCCATCCTCTGCTAGGATGTGTTTAAGACTGGGCCGGAGGAGGCGCAAAGGCGATGGGATTGGTTTTCCTTGCAGGTCGGAGGGGGCAGCTTCCAATCTATCCCGGCTTGCCCCTATCATCTGTCCGTCAGTTCTACCCAAGTCTCAGGCCTTCTATATCCCCCCCCCCCACCCCTTCCCTCTCACTTTCCCATACCCCTCCACCATCTCGGCCCGAATCGATAGTACCTATTTCTGTCATCCCTAGCGTCACTTTTTCTTTTCCTCCCTTGTTCCTCTCTTGCTTTCTCTCCACTCGCATCCACCCGTCACGCGATCGCACAACCACATACAGGCTGTGAATTGGTAATTAATGGCAAAAAAAAAAAAAAAAAGTCTTCACCTGCAGAGAGGAGCATATGGCAAGGTATTAAAAATTTAACTTAAGACTCCCCTCACTTCGCCTGTTCTCCACTCGTCCTCCCCGTTTGTCTCCCGTCGCTCCCTTTTATCTCTCGTCTTCTTGTTTCGCTCTGTCTTTCTTTCTCAGTTCAGAACTGCTTCGTCGTGTCCTTTCTTCTTTTTTTTATCTGTAATTCTTTTTTTTGAATCTCAAATGTTGTAATGGCAGTACGCAGCGAGCACTCTGTTTACTATTCCATAACAGAGACATGGCATCCGATTCCCATATTTATTACGTGTGTTTGTGTGTGTGTGTGTTTATGTTGGGCTTTGTCAGAGACGATATGGGGTATGTGTGTAATGAGGAACAGACAAACATGGAGGACATTCAGAGAGCGTGAGATAAATAGAAAGAAAGAGTTTGTGGTTGGGTGATCCCTTCATCCCCCCCTTCCAATTAGAGGGGGACACTCTGAGGGAGCCAGGCACAACCACAACAATTCCATTTTCCAACCACGCTTACACAAACTCGCTCACACACACACACACACACACACCGGCAGACATGCAATCTGAGGCTGAACGTCTTCAGCCCTCCGCCGTGAAAAGCTGAAGTGTCCACCCCCCCTCTTCCCACTCGCTTTCCTCCCCCCTGTTGCAGTTAACGTCTTCGTCTCCCCTTCGCTTGTCCTCCTCCTTCAATTAATGTCTTCTCCCTGTCTCTCGTCGCTCCCTTTTCTCTCTCCCCCGTCTCCTACATCTCTCCCCCGGCACGCGTGATGGTTTGACATCGCAAAAAAAACGGTGCCAGACCACAGAGCCTTTTTTTTCTTCCCCTCAGCAGCTCCGTCTCCCGCTCTCTCTTGCTCTCCTTCTACGTGTCCCTCGCCGCCCCCCCATCCTTACTACCACACAGTTTAATCTGCAGGGGGGGGGGGGGGGGGTGGTTTAGAGGCAACGGCTGCAGGACTTCCACATCATTTCTTTCTCTCTGCCAGAGGTTTTGCTGCTTAGCCGTCCTCCCGTGGCCCTCTTCGTCCTCTCCATCTTCTCCATCTTCTACGGCTATTTATTTGTTTGATAATTTATTCATTTTAATCTCCTTTTAGTTTTTTGCTTTGCCCTCTCTCTCTCCCTCTCTCATATCTCCTCCCGTCAACGCGCCTGTGTGACATGTGTTTGCATTACGTCTCATTATCCACTCCTTTAATCACTGTCCCGTCCCAAGCAGCCATAGAGCCCCGTCGATGTCACGGGTTGCTTTTTGTCCTGCAGCGAGCAGATCCAAAGATAGGCCTCTCAGACTGTGTTTGCTCCAATTCTTTTTTCAAGCGACAGAATATGTAACTTTATCCACTGAAATTGGAAGTCCTCCAAATCTCTGTTTTTTTCTCTTCCTCTCCTCTTTTTATTTTTGCTATTGGCATTATCTGTGGCGCTAAGCGGTCACTGCTGTGGTATTTTCCCAGAGATTACATGTCAGTCATACATCACGGACAGCTGTTTGCCTTGGATTTTTCTCTCAAGGGGAGACACCCGAGGCGAAAACAGTCGGGGTTTTTTGCATCGGTCAAATTTTGAGATTTGGAGCTGTCTTCTTTCAGGACTAGTAGAAAACCTCCTACAAAACACACATTTAGGGGTTTATTTTACTACTGTTGTCTTTCCATTGTTCTGGAAATGTATGCAAACTAGCAGATATTTGTTATAATAATGCCTAATTTGCATATTTAAACATACATTTTCAGCAAACTGGCAATACAAAAAAATAATTGTCTCATTGTCAGTAATCAACTTGGTAAGTTGATATGTCTTTTAGTTTAATGTTTGACCCTATTCACCTGGGGTGACTTCACTGCTCATGTCACCACTTTTTCAAGGAGAAAGATGTACATCGCTTACATCAGCCAGAGGATTTTCCCTTTGAAAGAGCTATGCACCTCCGGGGGTTAAGAACAGTAAATGTGAATCCAGTCTGAGTCACTATTGTGTTTTATCAATCAGCGCTGGAGTAGCAACGCGGACATTTCTATGAACATTTTACAGATTAACACTCTGAATTTTCCACTTCTTATGTGAGACAGTGGAGAGTGTTTCTGCTCTGCGTCCTCTGTGGGAGTCTTTACCTCAGCTGTCCCCGCCGTGGCAGAGCTCCCGGTCTTTCGCCCACGTCTCACAACCTCTCCGGCGACATTGGCCAAAGCGGGGCCGGGATGCCTCAAAATGGCTCCCGCCGCTTATTAATTCTATTAGTCAATCTCAGATCCCAATTTAGTTTTCCTCCCTCACGTCCGGGATTAGCCTTCACCACTGTTTGTCCGTAGATTTGTAATTAATGACTTTGATTGTCTGCTCTGTTTGTTTTTGCCAATGGAATCGGGATAAGGCTGCTGAGCCGAGCTTTCTCTTTTGTCCCTTCGTTCATCCTTCATTCGTTTCCCCCTGTCCTTCTCTCTGGAGACGGGGGGGGGGGGCTGGGAGTCCAAACACAAATCCCATTTCTTGTTGTTCGTGTTCAGGAATCGTGTTCCGCCTCCCCATTTCCCTCAGACTCCCTAAAGCACCTGGGATTAAATGACGTGTGTGTGTGTGTGTGTTTTTAACACA